ACACACACACAAACACACACACACACTCTCTCTCTCTCTCTCTCTCTCTCTCTCTCTCTCTCTCTCTCTCTCTCTCTCTCTCTCTCTCTCTCTCTCTCTCTCTGTACACACAAGCAAGCCAACCAACACACACACACACACGCGCGCGCGCGCTCTCTCTCTCTCTCTCTCCGTCTCTCACCTGCTTCGATTTTCGTGCTGCACCACAGACAAATACTGCGGCTGTCTGGCGCAATGGACGCCTCGCTGTCCGGGCAAAACGCCATCGTGCCCGTGGTGGGTGTGTGGGTGTGCTCGTAGCTTGCTTGGCTTTGGTGGTGGGTTGGTTGGTTGGTTGGTTGGTTGGTTGGTTGGTTGGTTGGTTGGTTGGTTGGTTGGTTGGTTGGTTGGTTGGTTGGTTTGTGGGTTCGTCGACCTTTGCTTGTATCTTTGTTGTTGGTTTGAATGTTGCTGCTGCTCTTCATTTCACCAACACAAACAAGTGCCTTCCTCTTCCTCTTCCTCTTCCACACGAACATGAACAAGCAACACACCACCATCACCACCATCGCTCCCCAACGCCACCGCTCCTTCCGTTTCGAATTTCCCGCCGTCTCAAGCCCTTTTTGTGGTGTCGTCTACTGACATTGATGACTCATCGTCGCCATTTTTTTTGCTTCTCTTGGCAAGCAAGCACAACAACGACGATGGGAGACAGCAGAGGGACTGAGGATGAGTTCGATGTGCCTTCGTGCTACACAGACTTGCATGTCATCGGCTACGGCACCTACGGGTATGAAACCACCAACCCCCAACCCGCGCCCGCATAAAGAACTGCCACGTTGGCATGTGATTGTGTGTGTATGTGTGTGTGTGTGTGTGTGTGTGTGTGTGTGTGTGTGTGTGTGTGTGTGTGTGTGTATTGTGAGTTTGCTTTGGTTGGTGTTTGTGTGTGGTCGCCAGGGGGTCGTAACTGTGCCTCCTGTTCTTTTCCTGGTGTCACAACAGCGTACACACACACACACACACACACGTAAACACACACACATACACACACAAACGCGCGCACACACACAAACCTAAACCCAGTGAGGTGAGGGAAGCCAAGGTCGTGGAGGGAGCAACGCGGCCCGACAATGCCTACTTTCTACGCCTGGAGCCCGGAAAGGTGTGATGTGACCACCAGTGATGCTTGCATTGACTCAAACTGTGCTGCTGTTGATGTTGCCACGCCGTGTCTTGTTGATGTAACTCACACAGAATTGTCTGCCTTCCGCCGTTTTGTCACAGATGGTGGCCATCAAGCGGCTGAAGCGCGACCTCGTGTACCGCGACAGCTATCACGCCAAGAAGGTGTTCAGAGAGATCACCCTCCTCAAGCAGGTGCGTGTGCTGATGTTTTGTTGCGATTGTTGTCTTTGTCTCTCTCTGTCTGTGTGCGCCTGTCCATGTGTGTCTGTTTGCTTGCCTGCGTGTCTGTGGATTTATATCTCTGTCTGTCTGTGTGTATCTGCGTTCGGTTGTTTGTCTGTTGCGTGTGTGTGAGATTCGTTCCAGCGGAATACACCGATGCTCATCAGCCACCATCCTCCATGTGGTCTTTTCGTACCCAATACGTCCTTCACGGCCACCTTTCACAGCTGATACACGAGAACGTGGTGAAGCTGGTTGACCTGTACATCTCCGACGCGCGTGACATCTACATCATCACAGAGAAGATGGTGTGTATCTTTGACGCGGGTTGACTGGCCGTGATGGCGCGTGTTTGAGTTGGTCACTGCCTCACACCTCACAACACGCACACGCACACGCACACGCACACACACACGCACACGCACGCGCGCACGCACACCCCTCACCGTCTTCAAACGTCCTTCACTCCGCACTTCTTCCCCTCTTCAGGACTGCGATCTGTCGAATATTCTGATTCCCTCGTTTGAGATGAACGACGCGATGGTGCAGTACATCCTGTATGGCATCATGCGCGGCCTCAAATACATCCACTCCGCAGGTGCCCATTGGTGGTGGTCGATGTTGGAGTTGAGTGTGTGTGTGTGTGTGTGTGTGTGTGTGTGTGTATGTATGTATTTATGTGTGTGTGTGTTTGTGTGTACTTGTTTGCTCATGCACATCCAAGCAAGATACCATCGTCAAGTACTGACAACCGCCCACGCTGACTCGCGCTGATGCCGCTGCCTTTGTGCACGTGTGAACTGCAGGTGTGATCCACCGCGATTTGAAACCAAGCAATATCCTCCTCAACTCCTCCCTCGACGTGAGCAGTGTGGTGCTTCGTGGGCGGTGGCAGTGATGGTGCACGGTGCATAGTGCACTGCAAATGCACACACACACACACACACACATTCACTGTCACTCATTGACTTGCTCACTCACACACTCCCATTCACGCAACAACAACAACCCCCCTCTACCATCCGCTTCCCTTCCATCTCCACATCTCCCCCCCCCCCCGTCATCGCCCCGGTGCACCAGGCGCGCATCTGCGACTTTGGGCTGGCGCGCAGCTCGAGCCAGACGACGCTGGCAACGGGGTATGTCACCACCCGCTGGTACCGGGCACCCGAGGTCATGCTCACGTGGCGGCACTACACGGAGGCGCTTGACATGTGGTCAGGTGCGTGCTCCCGGCATGGTGGTGGTGGTGGTGGTGGTGTGTCTGTGTCTGTGTGCGTGCGTGCGTGCGTGTGTGTGTGTGTGTGTGTGTGTGTGTGTGTGTGTGTGTGTGTGTGTGTGTGTGTGTGTGTGTGTGTGTGTGTGTGTGTAAGCGCCCCAGAGCCCGAGAGACAGAGTTTGCCTCTATCTTTTCGG